TACACCTCAATCTGGATCCATACCAGTGGGTTTAATGTGGACCTATCACAATACACCTCAATCTGGATCCATACCAGTGGGTTTAATGTGGACCCATCACAATACACCTCAATCTGGATCCATACCAGTAAGCTTAATGTGGACCCATCACAATAGACCTCAATCTGCATCCATACCAGTGGATTTTAATGTGGACTTATCACAATACACCTAAATTTGGATCCGTACCAGTGGGTTCAATGTGGACCCATCTCAATACACATCAATCTGGATCAATACCAGTGGGGTTAATGTGGACACAACACAACAAACCTCAATCTTGATTCATACCAGTGGGCTTAATGTGGACCCATCACAACACACCTCAATCTGCATCCATACCAGTGGGTTTAATGTGGACCCATCACAACACACCTCAATCTGGATCCATACCAGTGGGTTTAATGTGGACCCATCACAATACACCTCAATCTGCATCCATACCAGTGGGTTTAATGTGGACCTATCACAATACACCTCAATCTGGATCCATACCAGTGGGTTTAATGTGGACCCATCACAATACACCTCAATCTGGATCCATACCAGTGAGCTTAATGTGGACCCATCACAATAGACCTCAATCTGCATCCATACCAGTGGGTTTTAATGTGGACCTATCACAATACACCTAAATTTGGATCCGTACCAGTGGGTTCAATGTGGACCCATCTCAATACACATCAATCTGGATCAATACCAGTGGGGTTAATGTGGACACAACACAACAAACCTCAATTTTGATTCATACCAGTGGGCTTAATGTGGACCCATCACAACACACCTCAATCTGCATCCATACCAGTGGGTTTAATGTGGACCCATCACAATACACCTCAATCTGCATCCATACCAGTGGGTTTCATGTGGACCCATCACAATACACCTCAATCTGCATCCATACCAGTGGGTTTAATGTGGACCCATCACAATACACCTCAATCTGGATCCATACCAGTGGGTTTAATGTGGACCCATCACAATACACCTCAATCTGGATCCATACCAGTGAGCTTAATGTGGACCCATTACAATAGACCTCAATCTGCATCCATACCAGTGGGTTTTAATGTGGACCTATCACAATACACCTAAATTTGGATCCGTACCAGTGGGTTCAATGTGGACCCATCTCAATACACCTCAATCTGGATCCATACCAGTGGGGTTAATGTGGACACAACACAACAAACCTCAATCTTGATTCATACCAGTTGGCTTCATGTGGACACAACACAACAAACCTCAATCTTGATTCATACCATTGGGTTTAATGTGGACCCATCACAAGGCACCTCAATGTGGATCCATACCAGTGGGTTTAATGTGGACCCATCACAACACACCTCAATCTGGATCCATACCAGTGGGTTTAATGTGGACCCATCACAACACACCTCAATCTGGATCCATACCAGTGGGTTTAATGTGGACCCATCACAATACACCTCAATCTGGATCCATACCAGTGGGTTTAATGTGGACCCATCACAACACACCTCAATCTGGATCCATACCAGTGGGTTTAATGTGGACCCATCACAATACACCTCAATCTGCATCCATACCAGTGGGCTTAATGTGGACCCATCACAATACACCTCAATCTGGATCCATACCAGTGGGTTTAATGTGGACCCATCACAACACACCTCAATCTGGATCCATACAAGTGGGCTTAATGTGGACCCATCACAATACACCTCAATCTGGATCCATACCAGTGGGCTTAATGTGGACCCATCACAATACACCTCAATCTGGATCCATACCAGTGGGTTTACCCATGGACCCATCACACCTCAATCTGCATCCATACCAGTGGGTTTAATGTGGACCCATCACAACACACCTCAATCTGGATCCATACCAGTGGGTTTAATGTGGACCCATCACAATACACCTCAATCTGGATCCATACCAGTGGGTTTAATGTGGACCCATCACAATACACCTCAATCTGGATCCATACCAGTGGGCTTAATGTGGACCCATCACAATACACCTCAATCTGGATCCATACCAGTGGGCTTAATGTGGACCCATCACAATACACCTCAATCTGGATCCATACCAGTGGGTTTAATGTTAATGTGGACCCATCACAATCTGCATCATCATACCAGTGGGCAATACACCTCAATCTGGATCCATACCAGTGGGCTTAATGTGGACCCATCACAATATGTGGACCCTCAATCTGGATCCATACCAGTGGGTTTAATGTGGACCCATCACAATACACCTCAATCTGGATCCATACCAGTGGGTTTAATGTGGACCCATCACAACACCTCAATCTGGATCCATACCTCAATCTGGATCCATACCTGGATCCATACCAGTGGGCTTAATGTGGACCCAGTGGGATCCTTAATGTGGACCCATCACAATACACCTCAATCTGGATCCATACCAGTGGGTTTAATGTGGACCCATCGCAATACACCTCAATCTGCATCCATACCAGTGGGCTTAATGTGGACCCATCACAATACACCTCAATCTGGATCCATACCAGTGGGCTTAATGTGGACCCATCACAACACACCTCAATCTGTATCCATACCAGTGGGCTTAATGTGGACCCATCGCAATATATGCTGACAGGATGCTTCAGGTTTACAGCATATTGGCTGAATCAGGTGTAATACAGGAGGGTTCCACCACAGCTCTATCGCACTATGCCTGAAAGCTTCAGGTATATAATTTCAAAATTTCAAAAATTAAAAACACCTACAGGTCTTCACTGTTTAGACATTTCACGAAAGGGAAGAAATTACGTTCTTTTACTGTTTTCTAATCAGAAATATTTGTTACAGAAGTAAATTATGATGCAATAAGGTCAATAAACCTGACATTGGTTGTTCTATTTTTATTTTTTGTACTCCTTCAACTTCTGACTTTGGGAGAGAAAAACAGAATTCAAACAAAATCATGAACAACAAACACACACAACTGATTCCTCCCTGGCGCTGACAATTGTTTCCTATCCAACTATAGGCTGAAATCCTGTACATGTTTATGTGGACCTCTACGGTAATCATCACATGACAAGGTAAGCGATATATTTTGTTCCAGCACTTCCGTGTGTTATGTTAGTCTTCTATTGGTCACACCGTTTTTATTGTCCTAGTTTATGGATGTGTCTAACGAATATATTTCTACTGTCATGGATAGACATGATACATGATACAAAAGACACACAAATACCAAATCATGTGTCCAGATGTATCTACATGATACGAAAGACACGTACATACCACACCATGTGTCCAGGGGTATCTACATGATACAAAAGACACACAAATACCATATCATGTGTCCAGGGGTATCTACATGATACAAAAGACACACACATACCATATCATGTGTCTAGATGTATCTACATGATACAAAAGACACACACATACCACACCATGTGTCCAGGGGTATCTACATGATACAAAAGACACACAAATACCATATCTTGTGTCCAGGGGTATCTACATGATACAAAAGACACACACATACCAAACCATGTGTCCAGATGTATTTACATGATACAAAAGACACACACATACCATATCATGTGTCCAGGGGTATCTACATGATACAAAAGGCACACACATACCAAACCATGTGTCCAGGGGTATCTACATGATACAAGAGACACACATACCATATCATGTGTCCAGGGGTATCTACATGATACAAAAGACACACACATACCATATCATGTGTCCAGGGGCTGTCATCTTCCCTGTTCTGTGAACATTAACTCTCCCTATTCTATTGTTCTCTGCATATACCCGCTTCCTCTGTTTTACTATTCTCTGAATATTCTTTTCTACTGTTCTCTGAATATTCATTCTGATCTACTGTTCTCAGTATATTCCCTCTTCCTCTAGTCTACTGTTCTATGCATATTCTCTCTTCCTCTATTCTACTGTTCTCAGTATATTCCCTCTTCCTCTATTCTACTGTTCTATGTATATTCCTCTTCCTCTATTCCACTGTTCTATGTATATTCCTCTTCCTCTATTCCACTGTTCTATGTATATTCCTCTTCCTCTATTCTACTGTTCTCTGTATAGTCCCTCTTCCTCTAGTCTACTGTTCTCTATATCCCCTCTTCCTCGTGTCTACTGTTCTATGTATATTCCCTCTTCCTCTATTCTACTGTTCTATGTATATTCCTCTTCCTCTATTCCACTGTTCTATATATATTCACTCTCCCTCTATCCTACTGTTCTATGTATATTCCTCTTCCTCTATTCCACTGTTCTATGTATATTCCTCTTCCTCTATTCCACTGTTCTATGTATATGCCTCTTCCTCTATTCTACTGTTCTCTGTATATTCCCTCTTCCTCTAGTCTACTGTTCTATGTATATTCCCTCTTCCTCTATTCCACTGTTCTCTGTACATTCCCTCTTTCTCTAGTCCACTGTTCTCAGTATATTCCCTCTTCCTCTATTCTACTGTTCCCTGTATATCCCCTCTTCCCCTAGTCTACTGTTCTCAATATATCCCCTCTTCCTCTATTCTACTGTTCCCTGTATATCCCCTCTTCCCCTAGTCTACTGTTCAATGTATATTCCTCTTCCTCTATTCTACTGTTCTCAGTATATTCCCTCTTCCTCTAGTCTACTGTTCAATATATATTCACTCTTCCTCTAGTCTACTGTTCTCTATATCCCATCTTCCTCTAGTCTGCTAGCTGTTCTCTCTATATTCCCTCTATCTACTGCTGTCTGTGCAGTGGCTAATCCCTATTCATCTATACAACTGCGATTAGTATATATTACCATGCACGTTTTCTAAAAAAACAACGTCTAAAATTCTTTTCAAAAGGCTGCAGATGTATTATTTTCATCGTGATATATTTAAATAGAGTGAGTCGGGAAGTTTCCACCTTAAAAAACATATGACAAATGTTGACATTAGATCTGTAGTTGAAGAAATATATGGTCACTTACCTGTTGCTAATGCCTGCATGTGTTCATCTCCTGTGGGCAGGATAGTGCTGTACGTAGTCACAGTTTTCCCCGATCTTCATTTCGCAGTAGTGATTGTATTCATTGAATCACATCGACGTACAGCGAAACGAAAGTGAAGCTTGGGCCTGGCCTGTAAACAACAGTTTGACAAGCACTAAAAGGCTCAGCATCCTGAATTACCTTGTGTCACTGTCATATTAAATGAAAAGATATACTGGCGACTAAACGCGGAAGAAATGTCAGCCCCAGCTTGGCCTATTTGTGTATCACTAGGTAAAACATTCTGTCATCAGCTGTTCAACAAACGTGATATAAGTACGGTAGCACATCAGGGCCATAACTGTAAAAGACACGCGGCTTCTGTCAGGGTGGGGGTGGGGGTCTCGATCAGTTGTCAAAGACGTCGCAGTTCTTTGGATAGAGTTGTGTCACTTTGATTTGCAAGCACACTCATAATGGAAGGTTCGAATCCACAAATCGATGATATTTCAAGGTTAATTTATTGACACCATACCTGTGATTATTGGTGATTGGGTGCGGGGATCGCCAGGCGCAGTAAAGGCGCCCTAATGCACTGTGCAGAGTTGTGTTCCTTGTCCGCGACGGTATCCGCTGACTGTGGGTTTGAATCCAAGATTCGCCTGAATGTTATATTATCTCTGGCCTGATATGAACACTCACGTGCTCTTGTGTTCCACATTTGTACGACTTGAATTGCCTTAATATGTCGTAAAGTGAAATACTTGTCAACGAGGCATTGAACTCTCCATGTTGCCTGTTAACTTTTTTCCAAAGAAATGCTGTTGTCATGGAAGTAACATTGATCGAAACCAACTCACAGCCAACTCATTATCATTTTCCTTATCATCGTATATTCCCCTATAATTCTACCAAACCGACAACTATTAGGAGAACTTAAATCATCCTTAATTTGTTCTGCTGTTCATTCACATAAGTGATGTGAGTCGCAGAACCTACATCCCTGGGCGTCCATGTTTAAATACAACCGTGAAAACCTGTGTAAATATAATAGCGTGTGAGCGAGTTTAGTTTTACGCTGCTTTTAGCAATATTCCAGCAATATCACGGCGGTGAAACCAGAAATGGGCTTCACACATTGTACCTATGTGGGGAATCGAACCCGGATCTTCGGCGTGACGAGTGAACGCTTTAACCTATAATAGACGGAAGTGACGTGCCGCGTTGTTCCATAAGGCTGCCTTCTCGCTGTCTGCCCAAGCTTGTGTATGGGTTCGAATCTTATATATATGATGGTATGTTCTGTGTTTTAGTCAAGCAATGTAGGTCCTTAAATTGTAATAATAACGTTGACAAATCAGTTTCAACCATGGGCGACCTTTTGATGTAAATAATCATACTTGAACCACAAAAAGATAAAAACATCTCACCAGGTCGTGGCGTCGAAAGAATGAATAAATGTTTTAGGCCACATTCCAAATAACCCATCATTATCACGGCATCCTGTATACGATCACGTCTAAACCCATCATTGTCACGGCATCCTGTATACGATCACGTCTAAACCAGACAGGCAAGTGGATGATAGCTCGAGCAACGACCATGTCGTCCGGACACAGTTGACAACTTAAGTCGTGTTTCATTTACCTCCGCCTCGGAATATTCAGATCTTGATGTGTGAAGTACTGAGGATGTGTGAAGGCATGGGCACAGGACGGGGTTGTCAGCGCACAGTTGAAAACTGTATGAGGCGTCTTTTTCTCCTGACCCCTGAAGGTCCGGGTTAGAATTGATCTTCATTGACCCATTCCTGTCACAAGAAGCGACTAACGGGATCGGTTGGTCAGGCTCGCTGCCTTCGTTGACACATGTCATCGTATCCAAAAATCGATGCTCATGCTGTTGATCACTGGATTGTCTGGTCCAGACTCGATTGTTTACAAACCGCCGCCATATAGCTGGAATATCGCTGAGTGCGGCGTTACACTAAACTCACTCACTCCCACACATTTCTCCTGTATTCTTATTCAAGAGGTGCAAACACACACACACACACACACACACACACACACACACACACACATACCACATATACACTAGTACTGACCTCGCACTCAATACGATTTATGCCATGAGTTCGTGACAGACACGCTAAAAGACTCACGTTTTCTTCTCTTTCGTGTCAGCCATCGATTACCTCATCCAAAGTCGAGTGAGAAGTGTTTAACGCGACACCGAACACTGTTTCAGACCGGTATATGGTCTCTGTTCAGACATATCACAACGAGTGGCTCAATATGTGATTCCAAGACTGAATACAATTAACGCTCAGGGCGTAGTTGGCATTAATTCCAACCATTATTGGATCCAGACACATCTAAGGAACGTGTCTCTAAGTATGTGTTTATCAACAGCACCATTTCACTGTTACAGAAGAAAACCAAAGAAAGTCGTGGGGATCGACTATGGTGGAGTGAGCGCGTGCGTCCCGCTGAGTCTTCACCGCGTATATGATTTATGGCGCCTGCAGGTTTCCGTAACTTCCCAACCAGGAAGTGATTGAGGCCAAACAAGACTCGTGTGATTGGCTGTCCTGCGATACCGGCAAGTCTGCACACGAGCGACCGTTCACGTGCTTTCAAGGCATAAGGATCTCAAACTGGGTTCATCGAATTACATTTTCAGAAGCCTTGAAACATGTTTTAGTGGAGCCAAACAGTCTTGCCGATTTGAAGGGTGAATTATTTTGACAGAGACATGTGCGTTGCTAGCATCTTTACTGTTACGACCTGCATGTGTTCAACTAGGGCGTTTTTTAAGATTAGACTCAACGCTTTCAAGCAGACGATAGTTTTCTTCTCCGTACACTCCATGCTAAAATGGCTCAACCAAACGGCAACCAAACGGCATCCTTGTACACAAGTATATAGAAACTACAAACAGATTCACCAGCTAATACAATATTATTGTTTCTATTTTAAATGATATACTGTATAATATTTGCAAATGTATTACATGCACTTTTTTTCACTTTTTCACTTTCCAGCACACTGTATATATCCTGTAAAACACTGTATATATATCCCAACACTGCATATGTTTTCCCCAATGTCAAGCTTCCACTGTAAATTGTACATTGTATTATTTAATAATATGTTTAATTGTATTTAGGGAGAAGGCGATCAAAACTGGCGCACTTGTGCCTAATCCCCTTGTCTTTTGGACAATATAAACCAAGCCTTGTACTCAATTGGGGCATTGTGCCGTTGTAAGGTATCGTACGTCAGTATTACGAAATATTATACCATAAATGAACTTAATTCCTATATAACGAGCATAGAACATTGTCGTTTCCTTGAATTAAACATTTGTAACCTTTCCAGTGAGGCTTGTGAATTCAAAGCAAATTTAACCATGTCAATTGTTCAGTTAATATAGCTCAAATGTTCTTAACGCCTTATTAAACCTTTCCAGTGAGGCGTGTGAATCCAAAGCAAATTTAACAATGTCAATTGTTCAGTTAATATAGCTCAAATGTTCTTAACGCCTTATTAAACCTTCCAGTAAGGCGTGTGAATTCAAAGCAAATTTAACCATGTCAATTGTTCAGTTAATATAGCTCTAATTTTCTTAACGCCTTACTGAAAACTTCAAAATGAACAATCTTACGGAATAGCTGCTGTCACATCGCATTTAGTTCGTATTAGGAATACGTTACGAAAACCCGGTAAATAGATAACACTAGACTAACAACTAGTCTCTGAAATGAACACAGCACACGCACGCACGCACGCGCGCATATACCGCATCAGTCAGTAAACCACCGATTGCATTATATGAGTAAAGACAAGTGCATGTGATTCAGTTTTGGTCTATCAGATACTTAAGCTTATTATGGATAAAACACACAAAGCACCGTTTACATCACTGTTGTCAGGGTGTAAGTCGTGGCAATACCATTATGGAAGTGTTATCGTCCTACTATCACGATTGGTGTGCATGCTGTAGTCTAGGACCTTATCTGATTGATCAAAAATTATGCAAAAAAGATCTTTAAATATCTGCACATATTATGATAACTTTAAAGGTCACTAAAGCGTGAACAAGTCATAAAATGCGTTAGTACCTCGCTAGGACTGTGCTTCCAGCTGAACGATTTGCCTTGATCCATGCATGTTGTCGGTCAGATTGGTTCTTGGCGTTAGGTCAACGTTACACAATCAAATGTGAAATGCTTTTATAATCGACGTATCAGAAGCTGTGAGCAACATGTTGACTGTTTCAAGTGGTACAATTTCATTAAGACAATAAAATCAGAAAAATATGTTGATGACATTTTGAACTCTTGGTATACCTTTGAGATTCTGAAATCGATGGATCGGTAGGACACCCACGGTTGATCCTCAGCAACCCGCTCCTGGTCGTACGAAGCGTTTAGAAGACTTTACCATTTAGGTGTAAGTATGGGGGTATGTTGCATGTACACTCAGTTATCCAGCATTGTGTAAACATGTTTCGTCTATATATATTCACACTGTTCACTGACTCAGCATTCGCCTGATGGAAGGAGCAAGAATTAGCTCTGAAACGTCGTGTAAAGAATAACAGAAGTTGTTATCCTTAAAACGTGTCATGTATTCCGTGTTGTCCTAGATTCTATTTAAACCAGCAGGGGATGGTCAATACAAAGTTGTCTCAACTATTGATATTCTATATCCTTAGTGAGATGATTAGTTTAAGAGCGTAACGGGGACATCTGACATTTGCATTAGTCGTTGAACATCAGATGACCATAGATGTTTTGTTAGATAAATGGCTAAAGTGCCCTACAGTCCATCACATCCATTACCATGAAACCCAAACTTATTAATATCACACGAATCCGCCTCTTTTCTCAAGACAATCCCGGATTCGTTGAGGCATATTCCTAGAAAAACGTCCAATGTCAATCTTCAATCCATTCTTCCTGTAGGGCAGTTTTGATAGTGGTGGGTGGTTGTTGACGGTAAGGTACGGCGCCGACCAAGGATATCCAAGGATTAGTTGTCTGTCGCTATGGTGATTGTAATCTGCTAATTACTGACTGTTAAACTCGTGCTACAATGCTCTATCTCGTTACAACTTTCAACCTCCAACATGCCAACTGCTAGTCTGTCACTCAGTCCCTGAACCACATTATTTTCCCTACAGCCTAGCCCTCCCTGCAATGCTAAAGCCCTAAATCAAGCAAGTCTAGATTTCTCTGAATCTTTGGTCTCCCTAGGGCTCCTTTTCAACTTAAATGGGTTTATTCGTTACAATCAAATTATATATATATTCAAAGACT